AGGTGGGGGGAAAAAAAAGGTGCTTTGACACGTGTTGCTTTGCAAAGGATGAGATAATTAACTCAGTTTTCAGGCCTATTTTGGGCAGGCAAACAATCACAGTATCTTAGTCCCCAAAATGCAAATCATACTGCAACAGGCAAGAACAAAATGTCTCATAAGAGGAAAACACTTGGAAAACACAGACAAAGCTCTGCCTAGGAAAATCAACACCCCCCCAACCCCCCCAAAAAGCCCCAGAGAGACACACCAACGTGCTTCTTGGCAGTCCTGAGTGTTAGTAACCCAGGGAAGGATTTTTTTCAAAGCAGATATTGAATTTTTTAACATCGGATTCAAAGAGGGACCTCCCCCACCCCGCATCCCGACTCCCTGTACCTAGACGTGTGTATGCGACAGCTGTGCAGTTTTAAGCATCTCTCGATAATGAATCTTCCTATGCAAGCTGCAGAGCATCCAACAGAAAGACAAAATACATCATCAGGCTTTGCGGTACCTTGTTTACAAAACACCGGCTTTTGCATTTACTCAAACTTAATGATGGATTTTGAGTTACAGATACACTGAATCATTTAAGAGCAAAACCCAGAAGAAATCCCTAGAAGAAAAGTTTGGCTTGAAGGTGCAGAAAGAAAAGGCTTGGGAAATACAGAAACAGTGAACAGCCGTTTAATACATGCAGTGCAGTATCATGCATTTATTGGACATTTTGATGTCATCATTAGTTAGCAGTGTGTTTTTTTTTTCACAACGCTTGCAAGCGTACATGCCCTGGTTCCACTCTCGAGCGCAGAAAAGTGTAAGAGCTGCTCTTCTGACCTTGCCACTTACACAGAGGAGGCTGAAAAAAAAAATTGCTGGCTGGGACAGATCAGTGGCACTGTTCATGATAGGAAAGGGGTCTTGAAAACCAGAGTCCGGGATAAAGAGCCTTATTCTTGATCACAAACACTATTTACACAGCTTTGACTCAACTGAGCAAAGTTGCACTCCTCTCCCCCCCAAAAAACCCTGAACCAACTCCTGATTTTCAACCAGCGGTAGGAGCTGCGACCCCCGGGGCCATAATGCGCGCGCACACACACACACACACACACACGGGTGCCACAGGCAGCAGCCTGCCCAGCACACCGGATTTAAAGGCAGGACACGGCTACAGGGAATCGAGGATAAATTAACGGGACCATGTAAAACTACTGCTGGGCAAGTAATCTGCAATGACTAACTTCCCAGGTGAAATTCTGCTTGCAAAATGTTTGGGAGCGAGTTGTCGTTTCCTCATTCAACCCTCATAGGGAACGATGCGCCAGCTAACCCTCCGTGCGAGCAAGCCCGCTGCCGCTCCCAAATCTGAAGTTGTTTTCCTTGGATACGGTAATCTCCGGGTGTGTTTCCATTCTCTGTTTGAATGAGTGTAATTCTGAGCCTCCGGTTTCTGGGGCAAATAACTACGCTAACAAAGGCAAAACTCCCCTTCCATGAACACCCTCCGGGATGCATTCAGGCCCAGTTCAGCCAGCTAAGCACACACGGGAGCAAGAGAGCAAGCAATCCCGCTGAAAGGGGATTCCCACGTGCCAAAAGGCAGATGTTTCTGCACCTAGGGGGTGCAGCCTAGAAACTGTATTTCACCTGTGCGTGAATCCCTCTGCCCTGGCATGCCGAGGGGGTTTGGCAGAAAGGTGCTGCCTCCCCAGGCCGGGAAAGGCTTGGGGCAAGCTCCAACAGCCCTCAGGGACAGGCAGAGATTTGTGTCCGTGCTCTGCCTGCCCGTCCCCGGGGCAGTTTCCCGCTTGACGCACGGGTCTTCAGGCTGGGGAGAACCTGGGGCTCCTCTGGCAAAGCTCTGGCTCTGCTCCATGGTGGTCCCTTGGGCCACTGGTGGCCTCCGGTGAAGGCGACACGTGAAGCTGTAACCCCGGAATTACACCGTGCCACCGAGGGGCTAGGCAGAGGAGGAGAAAGACTTCCCCGCTAGCTGTGCTGCAGGGGCAACGTCGACTCTACACCGCACAAGGTGCAGAGAGTTAGGATGCACCGGGGATGGAGTCACATGCAAAAATCAGCCCCTGGCACTGCAATACTGACTTTTGGTCTCCTAGAGGTCATAGGTGGCCTGTTCTTGCACTTCTGCAGGTCAAGGGGCCATCGGAGGTTTCCTGGAGGTTTTTTCCCAGATTAACACTACTGTGGGCATCAGAGGTGGCCTCTGGGGCTCTAGAGGTAAAAAGCAACAAGCAAAGCTGCAAGCAAAGAAAAAGAAAGAAGGGAAAGGAGCTGAGGAAAATAAGTTACAAATCAAAAGCACATTGATGCCAGTAAAGTAAAGCAGAAAAGGGTAACAAACAGGGGAGTCCAAGCTGAAGTCCTCATGGGAGGAGTGAATCTCACATGGTTTAGTAAGACGGCCCCACTGGGAAAGAGCCCAGAGCGATTTTTCTACCTGTATGGCGCATTGTGGATTTGGTTTGGATCTATTTTTCGGCCAGGAGCCCTGTCCCCACACGCATACAATATTTACTCTTGGCTTTTGCTTTTGTGTACGGGACTCACTGAGTAGAGGTATGCGGTGACCGGCAAAACGGAAGGATACGCAACGGCACTGCAGCCTCCCCGGCAGGTGATGTTGGTGTTTGCCACACTGGGCTGGGCTGCCAAGGCGCAAACGTCCCTAGCCACATCCATAAACCTCGCCCCGTAAAGACCTCACGTGGGCAGGCTGGCCTGGCTTCTGCTAAGTCGCCCCAGTTAACAGATTTGCACAGATTTAAGAATTTTTTTAACCAAGAGATAGATGCTTTGTGACTCAACGACTGTAAAGATCTCTGCCCTTCACATGTCATGAACACCGGTTAGATCTCCAGTCCTGCTTCACTGATACAAAAAAACCCATCCAGCTTCCCATCACCCAAAACTGCAGCAGAAAGAAACAATTTTGCTTTTAAGTGCTTCTGTTTCTTGTCTTAAGATCCCAGCAGTTGATAACAAGCCAAAGAGAATGACGATAAATTACACAACTATAGCAGAATATTACTTACAGGAAGGAAAAAAATCTAACTCCAAATTTGGAAGGACAGCAGAATATCCCTCCAAATACAAAATACAGAAAGCATCCAGCACAGAGGGGCAGCCAGCATGCAGGACCGAGGGGGGACCCTCCCCCTGACTGCAGAAGCACACATCTGCCTTTACTTGCTTCACTGTTCTTTGCTTTGCAGATGGAAATCCATTTTCTTTTCTTTTTTCTGCAAGATATGTTTGGATGCTATGCTTTGATTCATGCCCTCAGCAAGTAAATGAAGTTCAAATCCAACCTCAGAGCGCAGAAGAGAACGTAAAGAGGGGATGCTTGACCCCTAGCCTTACACACAATTGTACAAAGACAAAAATATTCCCTAACCAAACCCCCCGACTCTTGGCTGCACGAGTGTGAACGTGGAGAATGCCACTGACTCCGAACTGGGCTATTGCCTATTTACACACATGCAACTGGAGCAGATTGTGGTCAGCTGAGCGTACGTATGCTGAGGGGCAGAGGAGAGGAGTGAGCCTAGCAGGGAGGATATCTCACGCCCACCTGTCTGCCCAAATCTTGGACAGAAGCCCTCCCTAGGGAAATTATATGGAGCTTTCCTACCAACCTCAGAGAGACCCAGTACCTGGCATCTTTCCTAAAACAAGAATACTGCAGCTTTCCGCTTTTGCTACACCAACTACAACCTGAGTAGGTCCATCACTGGTCACACACGTCACTAACACACGCTGGGCCAGGTCTACAGATGCCCAAAACTGCATCAACGCAGTGGATTTTGCTAGAAATGCCTACGAGCTGGAGACATGGTGCTCTGCTGCAGGCTTAGCCACCAGGTTTCACAAGCGGCTACCCGGGCTTGCTGGAGATGGGTTCTCCTAGGAGACTCAGACTCTGCCCTCTCCAGAAACTGGGAACAGGTTGATACTGAGGAAACTAGAAATCTACTGTGTGCAACAGGTTTAAGTGCCACCAAAGTAGTGATCTCCTCGAGCAGAGTCAGCGCTCCTTGCCACCTACTTTACCAGCCTTTAGCACTCACAGCATGATGGATGAAATCCCAGCTCTGCCGGGCAAAAGCCAAACAACTGAAGCTGCAGCAGGGTTTCGAAGTCTCAATGAAAAGTAAGAATATGGCTTTTCGCAGCACAGTCACTATTGCCTTATACATTCAGCTGTGTCTGTGTCTGGCTTTCGCAATTTTTTGTGCCGGGCAAATGACACGAATGCGGCAACAGAGCCTGTTCGGGGGAAATGGCTTGTGCCTCTCTGCGGGGACAGAGCGGTTTGGAGTACGAGCGGCTCACAGTGGCAGGGCGAGGGCGCCTGCTCCTCCTGCCTACCTCCCTCTCCTCCTCCTGGAAAGAAAACCAAAGCTGTGAATGACACAAAAGCAACTAGGAGACATTCAGCAAATGAGGTCAGACAGTGAACAGGTCTCCTTTCTAGTCCAAGCTGTTTAATGCACTTGCTGCACAGCAGTAACAGTGGCTGTTCCTAAATGACACACCAGCATGTGTAGCCTGGGAAATCCATGTATTTCAGTAACAAAAAGAGCAGGGCAATTGAGTTAGCTTTTGTATATGAACTCCTGGGGAGGAAGGGGGAAGGAGGCACTGCCACCGCGGCCCCTGCGTATGCGTCTGCCTTTCGGAGAAGCCCTGCTTTTCCCAGCTCCTGTCCAGCCCTTCGCCCTGGCTGGCGCTAACAGGGATTAAGCAACGATACTCCTGGATCCTGCGCTTTGCACCTGAGAACCTGGAAGTGGTTTATGGAGGCGTGCGAGTGCCACCCCTCTCCCAGGAGGCGAAACCGAGGCACATCATAGAAATTAAGGTCCAAACTTCTCTATTTGGCTTCTGATATTTTAGTCACTTTAGCAGCGGGCTGCCCGAGAGGCGACTCCGCGAGGTGCTGACCGCCGGCAAACGCAGGTGCTGAGCAACCCTGCCCCGGAGAACTCGAGCTAAAACGTCTTGCCACGGGTCGCACAGTGAGCTGGGGGGCAGAGTAAAACTAGGACTGGGGGCCCCTCTCCTTTTGCCCGAAAGGACTCGGAAGGGGATAAGAGCTGCAAAATGAGACTCTCCTCTGCCGTTTCGTTGGCTCAGCTCTGGCGCGCTCCTGAAAGGCGCTGGGTACCTGCCTCTCCTCTGACATGCGGGGTGCTGCCCATTCCCGGTGCTACGGACATTCGGCCAGAGAGGAGCGAACTTCCAGCTGGTGGCAATTCAACTCTCGCCATGGCTTTCAAGGAGGAGGAGGGGAGGGAAAGCAGCAGTTTTTCTTAATCTGAGCAGTAACAGCTCTGCTAAAGCCAGACAGATTTGCAGTCCAATTTGAGGAGTTAAAAATGGCATGCCATTGCAATCCTCCTGTGTTGCAAAGTTAATGTAAACTCCTACCTACAGAAATAACCTATCCCCCAGCAAACTGGAAGGAGGAACATTACTGGAAGTACTTTTTAAAAGAAAAAAAATATATAATGCTCAGAAAAGTATCTCTATTTAAATAATCCAGTTGAGATGTTTGTAGTTAATGGAAAAAAAATACAACATATACTGTTACCTACACTGAGAAAAGAGTAAATCACTGGGGAAAAGAATGAATGTTCATTGATTAAAACATTGCTAGACTCACATATATATATATATATATTTATATATATGTATATATATGTACAGCACCAGAGACTGTTAGATCCATTCCCCCGGAGTCATTGCAGTTTGTGATAAATGAAACATTTCAGAATTGCAGTATAAAATATGGCCATAAAAAATCTTCTTTCTTCTAGTCCTTCGCTGAGCACGCAATGCAGGGTGGGATCGCTCTGAGAAAAGCTGCTGGCGTGGACGCCTGGGCCGCTGCTCCCGGTCTGCACCCGTCACTTGCTCCCTGTGTGCACTGTTGTCACGGTGGTGGGTCTGGGTCTCCGGTTCCCTCCTACCGCAGAAACGCCTGAAGAAGCGGATGAAACAAAGCTACACAGAGTGGATGGAGACATACCTAAAAGGAAAGGCAGAAACGCAGTTAGAAATGTTATTTTGGAGGGAGGGCGAAGCTGGGGTTCCCTTCACAGCGTGCTCGAGGGGAGCAGCACCTGCCCTTCACGCCGTGATGGATTAACAGGGGGCCCCCGGTGTCTCCTGCCCTCCCTGCCATGCAGAGATTCGCCCTCTGGTACCCCGGGCGGTCGTGTATGTGTGGCGCGATGAAAAACATCCCACTCTGGTATCTACCCAGCTAGACAGATTCCCCAGCTCTGCGGCTGGAGACCTTGATTTCGTCTGCTGCTACAAAGAGTCCTGCGAAGAAAACATCTCGCTAGAGTAGTACTTGCTCAGAAGAACTCTTCTTGTGGGCACGGTATGGGTGATTAAACTTTTCGCGTCACTGCGACCTAGCTAAACGAACAGACGGTGCACCTGGAGTAAACAATTTCCCTGGGCATCCTGCAAAGCTGATAAGAAAGTGATAAGAAAGTACAGCGGGTCAAATTCATTGGTGAGTTCCAATAAATCTCGAGGGGAAGTACATTTGTGTGATTGGGACATCATTCTGGTGACACATTATGTCACTGCAGGTTTTGCTGGTACGTCCCCAGGACTGCCAGCTAAGAGACATAGGTTGATTGAGTGTCTGAACCCAAATCTTACCTGGGCAGCTGCTTTTGAACTAATCACAAACCTGTGACAGAATTTTTTTGAAAGAAAACTTGGGTTTTTACCTAAATAAAAATGCTTATAGAAAGCGTCTACCTCCACTGAAACCTCCACTACAGCTTTAAAGAACAAAACCCTCCAGAAAGTAACTCCTGAAAACCCAAAGCGTGCTAGGTTTTGAATGAAGACTCTAGATTCTGCTATTCCAGCACAATCTCAGTGTTTTCTGTGGAAAACATTAACAAAGAGAACCACAATTTATCCTTGCCAAAATTTCCCATGGACAAACCACCCTCCCCGAGAGGCTGCCGAGACCCCATAGGGGTCCGCAGATCTTCTCGGGTTGAGCAGCTCCCTGCGCAGTTCGGCAGCCCTGTAGGTACCGGCATGCAAGGAAAGCTGCTGGGCTGCACCCCAGCAGGGTGATTTTTCTCTCCTAAGAGGCGAGTGATTAGAAATATGGCTAGTTTTTTCCAGCCTGGTGAGTAAAGGATGGGTAAAAACCATATTAATGTATTCTCAGTCTACAGCCCCATATATACTTGGGATCCTTCTGATGCTTGTTACGACTTCTACGTAGTTTTCCACACTTGAAGGTCGTATTTCAACATGCCATCAGATGCTCTGAACCTAACTAAGGTCTGGCTCAACTGTACTGAGGAAGGAACCAAAGAGAAAGCTTGCTTCTCTCCCGTGATCGCTGCATCGCCCCAGCACAGCTAGAGCGGTTTGGTGTCTGCGGGCGGCTAGCGCTGCTTCGCTCTGGGTCATCCAGGCAGACTGCCGGACAGCACAGTGATGCTGTCTCATCTGTGGCTGCAGGATTTGGCCCTGGGCTAGGATGAGGCAAGAGTACAAGCTGGGCAAGACCCTGGGCAAGAGTATAAGCTATGAGCGCTCCTTTTCAAGTGCCGCACCCTAAAATCCGATTAAAAAATAACCTCGTCCAATTGTAAAGTTTATATCCCTCCACTTCAGGATGCAAAAGTCTCTAGAAGTGGACAGATGGGAATGGTGAATAAGTGCTCAAAACAATGGATTAAATAAGCTTCATTGCAAAGGAAGCATTTCTGCCTTCCAAATGATCCCTCTGCTGCCATGTCTCCTCTCCCGGGGTGCAGAAAAAACATATATCCCAAGCCTCTGACTCCATCAGGCAGCTTGAAAATCTCAGTTATAGCATAGAGCAAACAAGGCAGTGGGCCAGGGCTCATTGTGGTGTACAGACTCTGAGTTTTGCTAAAACAAATGAGCCTCTTAGTACAGGAGCTTAATTTGGCCCAGTAAGAACAAAGCTGGGTCAGCCTGGCAGTATCAGTCTCCCCCACGGAAAATGTAAATGGAAAGCAGGCCAATTTTTACAGAAAACTTTTAATCACAAAACTGAAAAACTCAAACATAAACACATTGAGTAAACTTTTTCCATTTTCAACCAAATACAAAATGTTTTGCTGCGGGGGCCTGGCTTTTTTTTTTTCCAACAAAAAGACCCTGTTCTCCACAAGAAGCAGTCTCTCCCTCCCCAAAATGCAGAGAGCTGAAGACTCACTTTCCTACTGCATAAACTATTTTCCCAGAATTTCCTTTTTGGCCAGTTAAAAATGAAGGCCACAATCCTTTTTCAGTCTTTATTTTAAACATCTGCTCATGCGAAGCAGAAACTACTGGCGGCAAGGACTGCAGCCTGGGCATCAAAGAGAGAAATACAATTCCCCTCAATTCTTCTGCTGCTGCAAAGCTGGCAGGACAAACGCTGAGCAGTGTCAGCTCGGGCTAACGCACCACCAGCAGCTCGTCCACCTACGCAGGGGGCCAGCGGAGGGTGACGGCCCTTGCCACCATGTACTCACAATCTTTGCGGGTCGCTCCGTCGGGAAGCGGCGTGGCGAGGCTGAGGGTGCTCGACACGCCGGCGCTCGCGCTGTCCAGGCTGCTGCCGAGGTGCAACCGTCTCATGTGTCTCACGACTGCCGTGGCGTTGAATGCTTGCTGGAGGAAAAGAAAGCAAAAGAGCAGGAGGAGCAAGGGTTACTTCTGATTTTTCCCTGTGGCCAGAACTGGATTCATCACTCACCCTCCAAACTTCTGCCCGTTTCTTAAGCTAGAAACATCAATACCACCTCATATGCAATTCCTTCGCAGTCCTGCACCCTGTTGCTCTTTTTAACAATAACTTGGGATGGGGCAGCCCACAGAGAAGGACACCTTTGGTAATAGGTCCTTCCCTGTGCCAGCACAGAGAGCGTCCAAATTTTCATGCCCCTACCACAGTGCTGTCTCCAGCTTCACAGCTAAAAGTTTGTGTTTTTAGATGTGACTGCCACCAGTTTGATCTCGCAAACTCATTACGTTTATACACTCGATCAGCAGTATCCTACAAAAAAAGGTCTGAGAGGCCATGCAACCTGTCAAAGACTGGATCAACAATTTTGTCTGAAACTCAGAGTGAAAAAAAGCAGTTTTGCATTTCAGGCAGTAATATACTGAAAAGGCAGCTATATACAGCTATATATGCCTGCCTCCTTAGCAGAATTGTATCTCAAAGCTCAACAACTTGGCCCCTGCGGATGGGTCACTTACTCTCCACTTGCTTTTTGCAAAGTTCTTTCGGATCTGAGCGCTGACAGATTCGTGGATGTTTTTATTGAGTGCTGTATCACCGGCAATCCTGAAATAGAGAGACAAGATAGGTTTTAATAGATCTTATGCTCTCCTTTAGCACTCCTCTCATCAGTGAGTTGGTCCAAGATGTGATTGCTCCTATGGTGATGATGATTTCATTTATACGAGGTCTCAAACCTGCCCCTGTTGTCACTGCTGGCAGCAACGGTGGAAAACCTGGGCAATAAAAGAAAGCGTAGATAAAGCTTGTAGGTCTGGCAGCTACAAAGAGGTATGACCTTACTTTGTTGGTGCATGGCTGCTTTCTGTCACCATTACAGCCCTGGATGAAAACATTCTCCCTTTTGTTTTTTTACATGTAAAGAGTTAACATCAACATGTTGAGACTACTTTTAGCCTTAGCCATGCAGCAGTTTCCAGAGCCACTCCAACCTGTCTGATTTCTGTTTGCACTAGAGATTTTCCTGCCACCCTGCAATGTACATAGTTATTCGTCATGATTAATGCGGATTTACAGTAGAGCAGATACATTGACTCACTAACTAAAGAAGCACAGGCTGTACAAATAGCTTAAGCTGAACAACACATGACCTAAAAACTTGACTGATGTTGCACAGACAACGTCTTGAACAGATTAGGACATGTTCAAATCTCCAGTAAATACAATTTTTTTTCAAGGAAATTGTATTAATTCATTTAACTTGTTGAGACATGAGATCTACTGGAAGAGTAGGCACTGCAGTGAAGTGACGTTGCCCATGCACGGGGCAAATCCTGCATTGCTATCTAACGTAGGCAAAGCAAAGGAAGCAAAGACTGTCTCCTATGTCATATGTGACAGCACATGTTTTCAGAAATCAATTATTTAGCCACAACGTAGAAACCCCAAGTCTATTAGTGATGGAAATTGATAAGAAATTAATAAGCAGGACGTTTGTTAGGCCCAGAGCCATCACAGATCAGGGACCTCCAGTAACAGATTCAGAGGGTCTAAGAGACTCAGAGGTCATCTGGCTCATCCCTCCACCCCGCCTCTGTTGAAATAATTGTTGACAGATATTTGGCTAACCAGTTCTTAAAGACCTCCAAAGATGGAGGCTGCTGAGGCAATCTATTCCAATGCCTCACTATCTCCCAGAAGACATAGAAAGTAGTTTATTCCCTGTGTCTTTGAAGCATCCTTTTACATATTTGAAGACTGTTATCATGTCTTCTCTCCATCTTCTCTTCTCTAGACTAAACAAACCAATTCTCTCACTGTTTCTTCATAACTCATATTTTCTAATCCTCTGATCTAGTGAGCTTCTCTGGACTTTCTCCAACTAGTCCACATCTTCCTTAAATACAGTACCCAAACTATTCACTGTTTTCCTACTAAGGCAGCAGAACAGCAGCATGACTTTGTGTTTCTTAAAGATCAAACTCTGCTTACATATCCCAATTTGCTCTTTCCTTTTCATGTGTCCCATTAATTGGAGACATTTCTTTCATTTTGCCCAGATCATTCTGAACTGTAACCCGATTTTCAAAGGACATGCAGCTCTTTCTACCTTAATGTCAACTGCACATCTACTAATAGCTGGCTGGGATCCAGTCTGCTCTACATCACTCCCCTCCTTTCTGTTGTTATCACTCACACAAGAAGTGAAAGAGATGAGAGGCACTATTTACTCTCAGGAGGAAGGCAAGGGACTAATCCCACAACCCTCGAGAATGGACAGCCACCAATTCCATCCTTTTACAACTGAGCTAGTTCAAATGCAATTACTCAATGGTACTGGAACCAGAAAGAAAGCAGGCAAGAAGGAGCAGGGTTCTTATTCAGAGTAGGCCACTTCCAGCTGGGCACTTGTGAGGGCACTTGGCTGACCGCCACCACCACATAACCTTGATCTTGAGCAGATAGAAGAACTGGTACCATGAGTAAAACAGCTCCTAAATGGCTAAAGGAACCTGACACTGTCTTTTCGTTACCTAACCTGTTGAGGGAGAAGGGGAGGTGTTTGACCGAGGAGAACTGGAAGATCTTCCCCTGAAGAGGTTGCCTTCTGAACACCAACCCTCCTCCAACTTGAGAGAAGTCAGTCTGGATTTCTGACTTGGGCCAGACAGCTAAAAGTTTGGTGAGGCAGCATCTAGGTTAAGCGTCATATTCCCTTTTCCATCACCTGTCCTTCACTAAAAATAGGCAACGCTGCCAGACTGCTGAGGATCTCACCCATATATACCCCTAGATGGACAAGGAACCCTTGGCAAATATAGCACTGCAGCTGGCTCTGCACCTGCTGTTTAGTGCACTTTCTGAACTTCTGATGAATGAGTTTAACTTATTCATCAATGACCTGGAGGAAGGCACAGAGTGCACCAAATTTGCTGATGATACTAATCTGGGGGGAGTGGCTGACACACCAGAAGGCTGCGCTGCCATTCAGAGGGACCTCGACAGGCTGGAGAGCTGGGCAGAGACGAACCTCACGAAGTTCCACAAAGGCAAGTGCAGGGTCCTGCACCGAAGGAGGAATAACCCCATGCACCAGCACAGGCTGGGGGCTGACCTGCTGGAAAAAAACTCTGCAGAGAAGGACCTAGGAGTCCTGGTGGACAACAAGTTAAGCATGAGCCAGCAACGTGCCCTTGTGGCCAAGAAGGCCCATGGGATCCTGGGCTGCATTAGGAAGAGTGTTGCCAGCAGGTCGAGGGAGGTGATCCTCCCCCTCTCCTGCAGTACTGTGCCCAATTCTGGGCTCCCCAGTACAAGAGAGACATGGCACTACTGAAGAGAGTCCAGCGGAGGGCTACAAAGATGATGAGGGGACTGGAGCATCTCTCCTATGAAGAAAGGCTGAGAGAGCTGGGACTCTTCAGCCTGGAGAAGAGAAGACTTGGGCAGAATCTGATCAATGTGTACAAGTATCTGAAGGGAGGGTGTCAAGAGGATGGGGTCAGACTCTTCTCCGTGGTGCCCAGTGACAGGACAAGAGGCAACGGGCACAAACTGAACCACAGGCAGTTCCATCCGAACCTGAGGAAAAACTTCTTTGCTGTGAGGGTGACAGAGCCCTGGAAGAGGTTGCCCAGAGAGGTAGTGGAGTCTCCTTCCGTGGAGATATTCAAAACTCGCCTGGACCCAATCCTGCGCAATGTGCTGTAGGTGACTCTGCTTGAGCAGGGGAGGTTGGACTAGATGATCTCCAGAGGTCCCTTCTAACCTCAACCATTCTGGGATTCTGTGATTCTCTAGTGTCAAACCATTTATTGCAGCCACATCTATATGACCTAAATGGCACAGTACAGGGTGTCCCTGACTGACTCCAGGTCACTCTAGTGTCATCAGGCAAATACTGTGTGCCCTGTTCCGAGATGAGCCAGCCTCCTGAGGAGAGTATAGCTGTATTGCCTGTCCTGCACAGCTAGTTAGCACAGGTGCACGAGTGCATAAACTCATGCATCTACCCTTGTACACGGCTTAGCCTCTTGGTGCAGCTGGGCTCTAACAGAGTTTCCTAGAGGGAATGCAAAGCAGACTGCAAACTGCTAGTCACAGCCACTACCAAAATGTCATGAACACTCTGCTCCACCCAAGAACACCTCCTTGGTGAAGGCACCTGCCCTCAACAGCATACAAGCTGGGAGCCCTGCCTGTCACTACAAATCTGCAGAAGAAAACTAAGTCATTTAGCCAAACGCTTAATAGGCAGACAAATACAAGCCAAAGTATCTGTCCAACAACTAATCGTAAAGATCAAGCTGTAAAAAGAAAATTACTTACACTTGCAAGGAACATTTTTTTCCTCCAAGGCTAATGAACCATTTTACTTTATGAACAAGTGTGTTAACAAGCTGCATGAGAACAGATCGTATTTCCCACTTGTCAAATTTTATTTTGGAAACATGGGCAGAACAAGTTCTTGGGATATGATACCCCTGACAATTCTCCCAGAAGATCTTTCCTGTTATTCTCCACAAGGATTTGAAAATGCATTTTTGCTATATGAAACTTTTCATCAGTCATTTAACTTATACAGATGCTAGATGTTTTTTTGAGTTTAGGGATCACTTTCTGAAATGATGGTGAGGTTTGGTTTGCTGGTTTCAATAAGATTTCCAGTAGCTCACAAACTTTCTGCCATCACTAACTTTATGTTTGCAAAGCAATTCTGGTAATACTGGAAAAACAATCTCGCTCTTCAGTGTTTCTCAAACAGGGAGAGTAGTACATGTTTACTTCACAAGGGGATGGACAGACACCCTGTGAAACCCCGGAACACTGCAGTGACAGAGATCATACTAGATCTAAGGTCTCCTCAGAAACATAAGCAATAATCTTTCAGATGATAGTTTTTAATCAGAGCAAAATAACAGCAACACTAGGGCTAATCTAGTGCAGCAGAACATGTAAGAACATGTGCTGGGATGCTTAACAGCATGGCCCAAAATGCAGCCCAGGCCACCAAAACCAGAGCTCTTCCAAACAGCATCTGAAGAACTATCCTGTTGACAGTACAACAGTTCAGTAACAAGAAGACTGTGTATTTATACTGTATTTTGCACATGGAGGATCTTCAAATTTTTATAAAATACCTAAGAAAACCCCCAAAAGACTGTTATTGCCCATTCTCTGGTGGTGTTCTGCTGAAGATGTGGTGGTTTAAGGACACAGGCAAGAGAGGTTAGCAGGCAGAAATCCTATCTTTTATTAGATCAACGGGCAGAGCTTAAAAAATTAGATCAACCTCTTGGGCACACAAACTCACCTGAGGAGGGTTTCATGAGCATCATCTCATCTATACTGAGTTTATTTAATCATGAACTTTAGATGATGTATGAGATTTAATAGAAATACTAGTTTTACAGCACATAATAATCTCCCTCCCACCATTCACTAACCCTCCAAGTCCACAGGCTATAAACCATCTCGCTTTTTTTTCTTTTAGGAGAGAAATACCTTAACTTTCCTTTTTCCTCCCTCTCTTGTACTTGCACTACATACCTTTCCACAGCAGTCTGCCGCAGGTGCTTTGAGAGACAAGCATACTCTCTTTTTGA